TTTAGCAGCTTTCTGGCCTCTCTTTCTAACTACGTTGTTCTTTCTTGGAAAGTTTGGAATCTTTGACATTTCTTCAACATCAGCAACATCTTCCGATAATTGAGATGCAAAATATTGAGCCACTTCATGCGCTATAGCTTCATTTGATTGCAGGTTCAGGCTATCATATATTGTTTCATCTTCTACAAAATCTGGATCCTGATTGGACTCAACAAAATACTTTATGTCATCTTCAATATCTCTAACAGCTTGTGGATCCAGTTCCTCATTAGCCAACAGCCTTAGGGCTAGCTCCATCTGTTGTTGGTGCCATCTATATCTTGCTTGTATTTTTTTATACTCTTCTTTTTTGTCATCATTTGCAGCTGATGCTGTTTTCTTTTTTTTGTTCAGAAGCGTTAATTTATCTATTTCAACCTGTAAAAGATCATATTGTCTCTCAAGTTCGTCTATAGTTTGCGATAGACTTTCGGACACATCTCGTCTTTCTTGTTCTTCTGGATCTAAATTTTCAGACTTTTTCAAACTAATATTTGAGTAGGCTTTCTCTTTCGATGCCTTCTCCACAGCTTTATATTTTTCCATTGCAATTTCTACTGACCTTCTATAGTCCAGGAGAGCATCTTTATCTTTAATATCTGGAGAACTTTGCCATGACTTAATTTGTTCTCTCAGCCTTTGAAGTTTTTTAACCTCTCTTTTCAAGTCAGACTCGAGTTTATCTTTTTGTGATGGATTATTCGTACAGTTTTCATGTCTTTCATAATATGTATCAAAGATCTCAAGACCTTCGTTGATTTTTTTAAAGACTCTATCTACCTCTTGTTGTAATTTTCTATGAGCCATCTCAAACCTTTACTATCAGGACAGTAAAATAAATAAATAAATAGATTAAACTTTGAAATTAAAACTCTCTGAAGAATGATATGGTTATTAAAATTGGTGCAATTTATTATTTAAATAATATCTCCAAATTTCGAAGATATTTTAAAGCGCTATCCCAATATATTAAATAGTCTAAACGGTTAATGTGTTATCTCGGTTATGGAAATAAAGACAGTTATGCTCGTTAATAGCTAGGAAATATTGGAAATATTGTTAAATATGATTATTCTTAGGATGATAGTCTTAAATTCGACAAGATCAGGAACATAAAATGGATCATATCCTATTACCGATGGTATCCACTCATGAGGTAATATCAAAATTTTCAATCTATTTTTCAACAAATGGACGCAAAGCTTTCGAGTTTAAAGTAACCAAAACCGCAAAGTGAAAAATTAATAGAGGTGATGAGATACCGTTGCTGGTGATTATTTCTAATGTTTGATCCAATATTCGATGTATAAGTAAAGGGTGTTCGTTGCATTGCATGAAGTAGAATAGGTTAGTTAACAATTAGACTCTTACAAAGATCAGGTATCCCACTATATGGTGCACTATGATGATTATGCCACAAATAATTAGACTCCATTTGCGTGCAGTATTGATGTGATCTAGTTTTAAAGAAGTTGAAACTGTGTATGGTACTATAGGTGGTAATTGCTGCTGCTGCTGCTGTTGCTGTTGCTGCTGCTGTTGCTGCTGTTGCTGCTGTTGCTGTTGATTTGGTATAATTAAACTTCCAGAAGTTATTGAATTTAATTGAAGCTTTAAAGTGTCTGTTAATGTCAGATTTATTGATTTTGAAATTATTTCCATTGGCAGATTGGTACTATTTAGAAGAAAGTTCGAAATTGGCAGTGTCGCGTTGTTATATGTCCACTCATTAACTTCTATAATATCATAATTATTGATTTTATCAATCAATTCTATCATTTGGTTATTGGTAGAATTTATTACAGTTGTTAGATATCCATTTGTTTGCGAGTAAAGTCTGTCATGTACAATTTGTGATAGTAGTGTATTCACTTTTACTTCAATCTCGTTGCATGACTCAGAAATTTTATTAATCAAATCTAGATGGTCTAAGGGGTTTACTGAAATACTGTCGTTGTGGAATGTCGATGATGTTACTGGTATTTGTTTGGTGAACGTTTGCTGTTCTTTTGATGACAAGTTGTTCCCAAATATTTGCGAATTTTTAATTGTAGTCATCGAATTTTTTTCGATCAGGTCCCAGTAAATTATAACATTTAAAAATATAATCCACAGGTAAACTCCATTAGTGAAAATCCAGTATAAGTAAGCGGAAAATTTGTCCCACCTTTTCTGATTAATATAGAATCTTCGAAATAAAAAATTCGAACATTGATACGTAATAATATTGTTAACCGAAGATTTCAGCTGCAATAATAGTTTCCTTAATCTCTGAAGAGATGTTACCTCTTCCTTTTTAACATATTGAATAATATCCGGGAATCTTGTTTTAATCAACTGAGATTCCCATCTGTATCTCAACCATTCCCAAATAGACGATATTATAACAATTACAAAATATAAAACTACAAACAAAATTGTGAAAGTCTGTATTTTTTCATGCAAATTTGTTGATTCTGTCAATTGCACATTTGAATCTAAGATCTCCCTTTTTGCTAATTGTGGAGATGCGATAATGGTGGATGTATTTGAATGAATCATGGAGAATGACTCGGTGATATTTTTCAGATCAGACTGAAACGACTGTAATAAATCGTAAAATTTAGATTTTGTTGAATTTTCATTTATGCTTAATGAGAAATTATTTGGGACAACGATGGAAAATTCAATTCCTTCGAGCAGGTCTGTTAAATATTCAGTTTGTTGTGTGATATTGCCGAAGATATCTTCGAGAAACCAGTAATTCAAGGAAAAATTTGCAGTTAATTGATTGTAATAATCTGAGTTTTGAGAAGGCTCTAAAAGAAATCCCTTTTCGGCAATATTGTTCCAAGTGTCGTTTATAATTTGAGAGTTTGTGATTAACTTTGTAACAATTGTATTATTAATTGAACTCAGAGTTTGTAATTCTTGAGATTTTTCATCTACTTTTAATGAAAATGTTGCATTCCAGGAATCCAACTGAGATTCCAAATCTGGGAACCAATACTCATGCAGTAACCAAGTTATTGAATCATCAGCATTTTGTAAAGTTTCATTGATAAAGTTATTCCAAATATTATCTAATCCTCGCAATTCGGGAATTACAGAAGTATTCACAGTATGATTCCACGAAATGGTATAGTTTGAGTCTATTGGACTTATATTTTCTTCGTTCCTTTTTTGCAAAAGAGTCGGTGATATAGAGGTAATTACTAAAAATCTTAGTGACCATGTTGCTAACAATAGAAGTGCCAAGGTGTGGAGTAACCAAGGTTTGAACCAACATAGCACTAGCCTTTGAGGCAAACTCAGATTATTAATTAGCATTATATACAAAACTTCTCGGAATTAAGGGTTGAATCACTAGAATGTACTAGTGTTAAATGTCGTTATTGTTATTTTCAGTTACACAACATTGTTCTTTCCCCTAATATAAAAGCTCATTTTAATAAGTTTTGAGATAATAAAACAAATTATTTATATAAAATACATGATTCGATATATATTATATAGCAATTAATATAATTATACTAATAAAAGGATGGTGTTCTCTTGCCAATTTGCTAAGCCCATATCATATATCAGCGGTTAAGAACTTGTTTTAAAAATGTTTGAAGATTAGATGAAAAAATAATGTGTCTCTATTTAAAAACGTTTCTAGTCAAAACGAATCCGACGAGGAATCACCAAAAAAAAAGCATGAGGGAAGTACTGCGTACTAAATGATATTCATGTTGTGACGCGCTTCTGTCCATATGCTAGCGACGCGAGTCGATATATATTAAGATATATAAATATAATAGACCTAATTGAAATGAAGATAATAAATATACCAGTTAATAATTATATTCACCATGATATTCAAATATAATCATTTGAAGATGACATTCGAATCCAGATTCTTCTTCTAACTATCCCATTTTTAGATTTCCATCGATTATTGTTGAAATTCCATGAATAAAACCATCCTTGATCGTCAGAATCTAATGTTCCATTGTAATCCATAAGCACAAACCATTTACAATTATCAGTTGAGTGGTAATTGTGATTATTTTCATTGAGATTCAACGGGAATATTTTCTCGATTGAAGTGACAATGTTGAGTCTGTTTATTACAATACTTACTAGATTATTCTGTAATTTATTGTATAACTGAAATTGAGGCGGATCCAATTGTGGGACTAATAGTTTTGAAGAGAACAATGGATATCCTAAAACAGATATGCCTCTTTCATTTTCTATGATTACCTCTTCCGGTAGACTATCTATAGTAGCCAACAAACCTAACATTTTTGGTAATTGGGTTAATAGCATATGCATACAAAAGACTAAAAGGACAAGAGATATTTTTTTTAAAGAAAATCCATTAATAATATTAAATACCAAGAAGAACACGTATCAATTGAACACTATACATGGAGAGAATAAATTGTTTCAAGGTTTCAATTTTAATATTAGATTCCATATCATTATTCTCTTTATTTCCAAATTAGTCTTCATCTTCATTGAGTAAAATCAGATACACCTAAACCGTGGATAATCAGGAAAGAAGAAACTCAACTAGGCAACACAAAAGAATGCAACCCTAGCAACACAAAATATTGAATGAAAAATGAGATCAATAAACGCAGTATCTAGAGAGCATTGGTGTGTGTTTTCTAACTAATTTTTACAAAATATTTAATAATTGAATAATTCCATCGACTATTCTAATACAGTATTAGTAAAATCGAGATTAAACCTCAAATTTTTGGCTTCAACTAATTAATCAATCATATATAATATTCTCAAGGACTATTAAATTGTACAGATATCTTGTGCTGCATATTTCTTATTATATTCGTTTTAGGAAGAATCTTTACAATGCAGCCATTGCCAGCGAATAAATAAGGTAGATTTTTCGATATCAATCAATATAACAAAAAGATATCTTGCTAGCTGTGTAGTTACCATAAAAAATAAATTAAAATAAATTAAAAAGATATTACCTTAGAAGGGTGTATCACATTTTACGATGGGACAACATAACCTCAAAAACTCCGAGTTGTCTGCATCACAGAATGCACAACAAGTTCTCTCTGTCTCGGTAGAATTAAATACTCTTTACTTGATCAATAATGATCTGTAGTTTATTTTGAACAACGAAGCCAAAGCACGGTATATCATAGTTAAACAAGAACAATTGAGAGCTACTTCTTACAACTATATACACTCCCGTGCACCGCATTCATATTCACATATGCAATACACTTGTCTCTTCTGAACAAACCTCTGGTACGGTACATTACCTTGGTTTTCATTGATGATTGTTGCTAACTATACACCCAAACCAAATACGTAATGGCAAAAGAGAAAAAATTCCTTTGAAATAAACTAATCTTATCCAATATAACTTAAAACACAACTATAACTACAGTTACAGTTATAATTACATGCATGTTACAGCACATCAGCTCAGGATTTATTACGTTTAAATCAAAAATACTAGACTTACTAAGGAAATGTGGCATGTACTAAGCAATAGGTTATTCCATCCATTCTACTCTACTCTACTCTACTCTACTCTACTCTACTCTACTCTAATCTCCCATCATTTCAAATCGTTATTAATGTGTGTGTGTACATTGTATGAATAGATTGATCATTCGCATGAAATACCCTTTTCAATCAATTTCAACCTGCTTACGGCCGAAACTCCCCTGCAATAGATATACTCTTCCAATTACCCTCATATCCGAAGAGCTATATCCATCTTCTGCCCTTTCAATAAAAAAAAAAAAGCGAAGGCAACCTAAGAGAGAGAAAAAAGAAACAACACTTTTCTTATCATGTTAAAAATTACATCAAATATTAAATTTATACATACAACAAACAAACACATCAAGAATATTTATTTTTTTACGTCTGTTATCTTCACTTCTCACCATCTTCAAGGTCTCATTAATTCTATTCTTCTTATAGCTCCTTCTTATAGCTCCTTCTTATAGCTCCTTCTTCCCTCACTTCCCAGCGACCCTCTTCTTCAAAGGTCTCGCCTGGGTTCACCTTTCATCACACATCAAGGTTCTCTCTATATCTCTCCTCCTTTGCTCTTTATCGTATTTTCTCAAACTAATATACATGTGGTTCGGAGCCGAGTTGAGTTTATTCAATTATTTCAGAGATGGATTAAATTTATCTGTGATCTATTAAAACAGAACAATTTCTTCGAAACTTGTTAGAATTAAATGTGGGAATTGCAGGGCTCATACACGCAGTAGAAGAGGAAATGAATCGAAGAGCACAACTGACAACCCAACAGAGAAACAGGCGGACAAACAAAACTCTCTCAATAAAATTATTTAATTTGCTTGAAGTGAAAAAGTAGCAAAAAAGGAATAATATACTGGTACTGCTTAGACTTAGTAAGTTCTTCTGGATTATTCCCAATCTTTAAATTTACCTTGTTTGTGAAGTATGGGTAGAGACAGAGAAAAAACAACTAAAAGGTAATAACATATCGAGCAAGCAAGTAAAAGTAACTTTCTTGGATAATGTCTAGAAAAAATAAAAAGGAACACAAATACGAAGGGAAGCAACTTAAAAAAGAAATACTCATATTCATATTCGTTTTTTCTGGTTTTATAATTTATTTTATTCTGGTTGCTTCCCTCTCTATCCATTTTAGTCCTTACGTTGAATTATAATATCAAGAAATTATGTTGGATGATCTGTGTACAACCAAACCCCTCCAACCTTGTTAAGCTCTTCTTCCGAGTACCCCGTCCCTCTCTTGTACATTTAACTCTGATCTTCTTATTTTTTTTCCCTGATGTTTGGATTATAATTTAACAATATATTATATTTTCCTGCTGTTTCTAGTCCATGCTCCAGGTGAAACTTAGCAAGCTGAGTTTTGTCACTTTTTCCTGCTGAGGAATGGTACTATAAAAGAAAAAAAAATTTTGCCAAATTTCTAACAAGCTTCACTTCAATTCAAAATACAAGAGAACAAGAACAAGAACAACACAATAGACGAATGAACAGTAAAGCTAGGTTCTCTCTCTCTCTTATTCATAGTTTCCTCTGAGAATATTTGAAAGTTGACGTCCATTTTGTTTAAAGTAAAGCTATGGCTCCCCTTCCTTTTTTCAGGTTGTCATTTTAAACAAAAAGAAATTTTTCTTCGAACGTTGTGGTTCAAACGTATTCTATTCTGGCTTTATACTCAATTTAATTAATCCATCAAACTAAGAAGTTCATGAATTGATTAATAATGCTGTTGATGATGATAATGATGATGATGGTTTCTTAAAATTTCAATTTCCCACTTCGAAATCTTTTATTTTTTTTTTCTTGGTCTTCTCAGACGGAAGACTGTAGCCCACTCTATTTTCTTATTACTTTCTCATTGTTTAAAGGAAAGGTGAACCCCCCTCCCTCTTTATCTTCCTAATTAGAATTAAATATTTCATTTCGATTTATTATAATGCCTTCATTACCGTTTCGCTTAATTAAACATATATATGTATAAATATATATATTTATACATATATATGTTTAATATGGAAAAGGTAACTTGAATCTATAAATATATTATTATTTAAGTTAAAAATAAACGGTATTCATAGCGGTTTATTAAGTATTATTATTATTGGCCCTTTTACACCATTTGGCCCCCCGCCTCTCTTCTCTTGTTCTCATTATTTTACCTATTTCAAATAGTAGACACGTTAAACTGTTCTTTTCCATATTGAAGGGTACTCACATGCAGGTATGACTGGGAATTTTATTAGTAATCACAACCTAGCTTCTGGTCACCGCAGCAGTTCTGCTCATCCGACAGATCGTCAACAATTACAACAACATCAACAACAACTTCCTCATCATCAACAGCAACACCAGCCTCCACCACCACCATTATTTGCTGATCTGTTATTAGGTCAAAAGGTATTGGCAGAAACTGGTCAAAAAGTGGCGAGCAGTGCAGAGTTAGCTCACTTGTCCCCAGATGAAACAAGGACTAATTGCAATGGTAGTGGAACAACTAGAAATAATACAAATTCGAGAGCTGAAATAAATTCGATCTCAACTAATAATATCAATGAAAAAAATCCAATAAGAACACACTCTTCAAGTTGTCCACCAGTAAATGAGCAAAACTCAGCAATAAGTTCAACCCAAATGCATACGTCAAATAGTTCTTCAAATACGAATAATACCATTCATGATAATAGCAATAGCAATAGCAACACTACAAATTTCAGACAAAATATGTTAGCAATGTCCATATCGAACAATCCTCATTCATTGAACGATCCTACCATTCAAGAAGCATTATCGCCTTTCTTTCAACCATTTGGAGTAGATGTTTCACATTTACCAATGACTAACCCTCCTATTTTCCAGTCTTCTTTAATGTACGATGATCCTGGTAGAAGAAGACGTATTTCTATTTCTAATGGTCAAATTAGTCAGTTAGGTGAAGATTTGGAGACGGTAGAGAATCTTTACAACACTCAACCACCTCCATTGCCACATAGATACGACCATGTTCAACAAGGAAACAATCTCCCTCCAAATTCCTACGTTTCAAACAACAATAGAACAGCAAACAATGCTAACAATAATCAAAATATGGACAATACTAATAACAGTGGACAGGTGCCACTGCAGGCAGGTACGAGTTTCCAACACCAACAACAACAACAGCAGCAGCAAAGAAATTACAGTCATGTCCAATATCAAGAGCAAATGGCCATGATGAATCATGTAGCTAGAAACATGATGCCTTCACAGAATTTTAAAGTGAATATGGGACAAAATTGGAATAACAACGAACAACATCCAGTTTCACAACCATCACAACAACAATCAGAACAGAATCAACACCAGCATCAACCTCCTGCTACTGTTCCTCCGACTGCCGCTGCTCCTCCGACTGCCGCTGCTCCTCCGACTGCTCCTCCACAACAAGCTTCGAACTCATCCATTGCTCAGCTCACACAAACATTACAACAAGCAACTCCGAATATGTCTAATAACAACACTCCACGACACTCTACTTCAGACCCAGATGTTTCTATAGTGCAAGAGAACACTATATATGATTATGATAAAAATGGTGATGATAGCGTTGATTTCGATGGAATGCCATACTCGAGACAAGCATACCAAGAGTTGACAATGGCAGTTCCTGGTACAACTGCCTGGAAGCGAGCAAGGTTACTGGAACGAAACAGAATTGCAGCATCTAAATGTAGACAAAGGAAGAAGATTGCTCAAATACAATTACAAAGGGACTTTGATGAAATATCTAAAGATAATAAAATCATGAAACAGAAATTAGACTATTATGAAAAACTAGTGACTAAATTTAAAAAATTCTTTGAATCTCATTTGGAACAATGTAAAACAGGTAAAGAATCACTGAAAATGATTGAAGAAATGCTAATGATAGATTCGGGCATTTGTGAAGTTGATAATTCTGGTATAGTTGTCAAAATGGAAGAAGCAGAATAGTATCATGATTAGAATCAAATGATATTAACAAAAATTTTAAAAAGGAGATGACAAATTTTCAATTGAAAAGGGACACTGAAAATCATAATTCATCAATTTTATTCTCATTCAACCTTGCAGATAATTATTTTTTCGTGATTTATAAGTATTTATATATTCCTTCATATCATAGGATGTAGTTATTGACATTAGTTTAATCAATTTCTGTAGTTTATATGATATTATGCGCACGTGATATACTTCTTCATGATTTCCGAGAATGAGGGAATGTCTAGCTTTCACATTCCAAACAGAATAAGAAAAAAAAGAGGTTTTCCCAATAGAGAGAGAGAGCCTTGAGTATAAAAAGCCAGGTGAATTTACTTAGGCGGCTAAATTGATATATTTTAAATAGTCTTAACTTCATTTAATTCATTAAATTCACAGTGAAGCAAAGGGGTAAACTGAAGATCTTTATCTGAAGAAGGTTATGGTGAAATGAGTGAAATGATTGGAATTACTGAAGAGGATTGGATTATATGTTTTGGTATTATTAAAAATAGGAACAAAGCTTTATGGAATACCTTGACTTCCAAATATGGACCTGCTATTGAGGTCAAGGAATTAATTACTATAAAGGAATCTGTGGATTCAAAGGTTTTGTATACATTGGTTCCATCTGAATTACAATTCTTAAACAATAATATTGCTTTATTTATGCAAATCGAACCAATATATAATTATTTGATGAATTGGAAAAGTGATCTGAAAAATAATATTTACTCAAATATTGAAATAATAAAGAGTTTTAAAGATGAGATTACTCATAAAGATATTATTAACTGGTATTTTTTACGCTACAAAGTCCTTTTGATCTTGAAAACTTTAAGTTATCAAAGTAAGGATAAAATATTCTTAAATAACCTATTCAAATGTTTCCAAATACTAATTGTTTCTCATTTCTCGTTTAATGAAGATATGCCCACAAACTACGTCAGGACTGTTACAGAAACAATGATATTTAGATTCCTCAAGAATAATCTTTTAACGAATATAAAAGGTCAAAAACAAGAATACGGTAGAATAATTAAACCATTTTTGAAAAAATGCAATAATAATCATAAAACATTAAATACAAATGCCAGAAAATTCGCAAAAATTCATTTTAGAACTGTGACACATATTTTAAACTTATCCCTTCTAGATACCAATGTTGAATTGAATAATATGAAATCACTTGTTATTATAGAAAATATATGCCTTCTAATTGAAAGTTTGTCTCATCTGCTAATCCTAATCAACGGTGTCATAGTAAATAAAAATCCCAAGAAAGCATACGAAAAGATTTATTTGAAACGATTAAAAATTATTTCAAATAAGTACATCAATGACATATCCAATGAGTTTAATAAAGTTCATTTATCACCAAAACAAAAATATAAATTTTTAAATATTTCAATTGATACTTTGCTAACCGTGATTTCTCAAATAAATTGGAAGATAATTCAAGATAGACAAAACTACCAATCGCAAATGTTTCTTAAAAAGATCGATTCTAAAAGGATCTCAATCCAAAGTATTTTACTGATGTCAGGAGACCTTGACTTAACAGCAACGTTTAGACTAACCAACTGGCCGCAGATTCGATAATAAGATCAAGTATTCATAAAAAGAATCTATGGCCTAAACTGAATGGAAAATAAACTCACTGCTGACAGTGAAATAAATCGGTAATAAGCCCTGAAACGATTCTCGTACTGGGAAAACTTGAACAATCCAGATTTTACTGAATAAATAAAGTCAACGTTAATGTTCATTATTTTTAATTAGTACATTGTCAAGGGAAACAATATATGCAACATGCCAGATTTATGCAAGGGAGATGAAAATTTAGTGGAAGCAGGAAAAATTCCAACATGCAATTTGATGTCTTTTAAAATTCGAGGTAATTTATACGATATTTTCTTATAATCCTTAAACATACATTTCTCGTATATTGAGCGATGAGTTTTTTATATAGGAAGAATTTGACAAACATGATTTCTATCTATATATATAAAAAAATAGGAATGTTTTTGCAAAAATAAAGGGAAGCCAAAGTTATTAACTATTTATTCAATTGACTTTTAAACAATTCCAATCAAAGAAACCAAGCATCTTATTACCATAATGTTGTCATTCAGCGAAGTTATTTCATTTACCCAACAACGTTTAACAAGTCTACCTCCAGGTTATTTGCCAAAATGGTTACTATTTATTTCTGTTGTTTCAGTTTTCAATTCTATTCAAACTTATATCTCAGGTTTAGAATTAACTCGTAGAGTTTATGAAAGAAAACCACAACAAACTACTGAATTGAGTGCTAGAACTTTTGGTACCTGGACCTTTGTTTCTTCCGTTATTAGATTATATGGTGCTTTATATTTAAACGAAGAACATGTTTTCCAATTGACTTTTATCTCTTATATCATTGCTTTAGCTCATTTTGGTTCTGAATGGATGATTTTTGGTACCTGTAAATTTGGTAAAGGTTTATTGGGTCCATTAGTTGTTGCTTCAACCTCTTTGACCTGGATGTACAACCAGAAAGAATATTACACTGGTTCAGCATGGTAAATAATAGTCAATTGATTTTAGCCAATACCATTTCATTTTTTATTTGATCTAGTTACGATTTTTAGATACAATATTTAATTTATTCAATTTCATAAAGTATTCCAGATATATAATTATATGTAGATTTATATGTAATGAATGAATAACCATGTTAGTAAAACGAAGAAGAAATATTGTCAGAGTGGTACGGTCGATAGAAAGTTAGGTTTTAACTTTAATGGATTATAATTGAATAACATAGTTATTTACCTAGTACTAAAATTATATGGGAAAGTTATATACAATATAGCTATCAGGTAAAAAAACCATAGAAAATTAATATTATGTGCATTTAAGAAGTCATTATTGGTTATGATGAGGACGAGTTGGGTCGTTTAATTTTAATACTTCAACCACAGGACCTAATAATCTTTGGAAAGCACTTTTACCTAAGGTAGCTACCTTAGTAGTAGAAGTGGCTTTAACAGTAGCTTGTCTTGGCAAATCATTTAACAAAGCAACTTCACCAAAGTAATCGTGTTGCTTCAAATTAGCTACTATGCCTACACCTTCTTTAATTACATCAGCTGAACCGTATTCGATGAAATAGAAATTTTCACCTACATCACCTTCTTTGATTATTATGGAACCTGCGTCATATAGTTCTGTTTCCAAAGCATCTGCGATTTTTGCTCTATCATAAGTAGTCAAAGTCGATAAAATCGGGACACTTTTCAAGAAATCGTCGTACATCAATCTCTTTTTGAATGAGTTGCCTAATAATATTTTTCTAAAAGTTAATCTATCCAACATCCAAAGCACACAATCTGTTTCTGCCAAGACTGTGGCCGCTCTAGGGCTATTATACATCAATGCCAATTCACCGAAACTTGAACCTGGGCCTGAGGTACTAACTTTTGAATCATTGACGAAAAAGTCTACTGTACCTTGTTCGACTACGTAGAAATAGTCACCTTCATCACCTTGTTTAATAATTTCTGTTCCCTTTGTCACTCTTTTTTCTTCCAAAGAGTTGATAACCAATTTTTTTGAATCTTTATCCAATTTGTTGAACAAGAAGTTTTTACCAATTGATTTTTCTAATCTTTTCAATTGTTCTCCTGTTTTCTCTGAATAGTGTTCAGGTTTCCAGTCGGTTTCGAGGTTGTTTGGTTCGAAAGTTTCGCCGCTGACAGAAGTTCTTCTCAAGGCGTTGAAGTTCATTGGTATTTTTTTATGTTTTAGTGATTCCTCATTTTTGTTTGCTAGATCCAATGGTGAGTTTGAGGCTTCTATTTTTGTTTCACGTTGGTCGAATGAGAAATCTTGTTTGAAAGGGTCCTTTGCAGAAGGGTCCTCTTTGTGGATGACATTAGTAGTGTGAGGGTCGTGTTCTGAGAATGGTGATTTGAATAGTAGATGTGAACGGTCGCCAGTTTCTACTTGAGAAGAGCGAGTTGCGGAAGTTATACTTGGTGGGGTGTTATTTTTATTGATTTGTGATTTGAAGAGTTTTCTCTGTTCTTCCAATTTGCAGTTGAAGTAATTCGCTGAGAATTGGATGATATCAGAAGGGCAATCCCGTTCTACAGCTGCTCTGTATTGACCCAATTCTAGTTCTTGTTCCTCTGTTAAACCCATTTTCCAAACTTGTGATGTAAACCCAAAAAATAAAATAAAATATATATAAAAAAAGGTAAAGGTAGGGGGGGATGTGGGTGTGTAGTGCTAAATCCGATTCAACTTTTAATTCTTATTGTAATTATGGGAATAGAATAATTTCAATAACCCTTGGAGTGTGAGTGTGTATGTATATATATATATGATTATGCGACTGGAGTAAGCGTATAATAATATAAATACAGATGGGGAAAACACAGACTATTTCTTTGACACGTTGATCTGAATACGGTAGTCGAAGTAAGTTGTATGAAAACAGAGATAAGAATAGAATAGACTTGACTTGATCTAGGTGAACTTAGTTTCGATAGGTAGGAAGGTGTTGAAACTGACAACGAAACAAAATTAAAAAAAAATAAAAATGAAAATAAAATAGATAAGAGAGAGAGCTTCTTTTCTTCAAATAAATTGTTTCTTATAAAAAAAGATAAACTAAGCTAATTCAATTATAGTTGTATTAAATTTAAGTTACTTTATGTTTTTTGTTAAAAATGCTTAAAATTCTTGAAATTGCAATTTCTAATAATCATTTCATTTCCTGAACATGGATGGGTTGGGATTCAAGGGGGAGCCTTTTTTTTTTTTGGGTTTCCCGTTTCCCGTTTCGAAGGTGAAGGTGAACGAGACGAGACGAATTTTTCCGTTTTCCGTTTGTCTTGCGGGCGATGGTGCTTGGTTGATGACGTGTGTGGTGATCGAGTGCACGTGATGTGGGTGATATGTTGGAATGGCAGGGTAACCGTATTTGTGTCTTTGTGTCTTTGTGTCTTTGTGTCTTTGTGTCTTTGTGTCAGAGTTACTTGGAAGAAGTGATGGTGACATTTAGTGTATACATATATTGGATATATACTGAATACATATATCCAATATATAATAGAATAGAATAGAATACAATACAATACAATATGCAATATATGCAAATGAGCAATTGCAAATGGAACTGTAACGGGTGGCTCGTCACACAACAAACGTAAATATATAGTTGTACATTTGTACATTTCTGCACCAGTGCCTAGAGACTAATACAACCATTCATATCCAGTCTATACTCTACCCTGTCCGGTATGCTCACTTCTATCTAAAATATACTTTTACTACTGCGTCACGTGACTGTGTTCTCTAATTTTCCATTTTTTCTCAAACTTTTTCATCTCTCCGGCCGTCCTACATCCTTCTCTCTGTAAACATTTTTTTTATGTAAACTCACAACACCAACCAACAAAAAACACATTAAAAGATAAACCATATACAGTAAGTAAACTATTTCAATATGTTGTGGTTAAAGCTTTATACATCACCCACTAGCCAAACTAATCACAGCTTCATCTACTTCCATACTCAACGAAACCACTCAACGTTAGTTTCAACTCTCCCCATCGGTACAGCTTAATTTGAACCCTGTTTTGTGAATACATATATCATATATATACATACACTCACACTCACACTACAAGAGTCTACCATTATAATGAGCTCAGAGAACCAACCAGCAGATCAGTCTGCTTCACTGAATCCAGCAACCTCTAAAGAATCTAGTGTTTCTGCCTCAACTGGTGCTCCAAAACCATCCACAAGCGCATCTGTTAGTGAACCACCTCTATTACCTCATCTCCAGCAACAGCAACAACAACAAGATGCATTGAAAATCAATTACGAAGAAGAAGCAAAAAAATTAGAAGATAAAGCTTTACGTTTCTTAGCAAAACAATCACATCCTGTCGTCGTACCTAAATTTGCATCTTGGTTTGATTTTAATCAAATTCATGAAATTGAAAAAAAAAGTTTACCTGATTTCTTCAACGATTCTTCAAGATTCAAGACCCAGAAAGTTTATAGAGACGCAAGAAATTTCATGATCAACAGTTATAGATTATCACCATTCGAATATTTGACAATGACCGCCGTAAGAAGAAATATCGCCATGGATGTCGCCTCTATAAATAAAATTCACGAATTCTTGGAAAAATGGGGATTGATCAATTACCAAATCGATCCAAGATCTAAACCTTCCCTAGTGGGCCCAAGTTTTACAGGCCATTTCCAACTTATCCTGGACACTCCACAAGGCCTGAAACCAAACGTTCCAACAAAAATTATGGAGCCTCCTGCAATGAAAGATGATGACGAAGATGATCTTGACGATGAAGATGTAGATATGGAAAGCAATACAGATCAATACCCTCATAACTTATTGCTAAGGAAAAGTGTTTATGATTCCACTAACGATTTTAATGCCTTAAGTACTCGTGAAAAAATTTCAAGACAAATAGAGAAAACTTTTATTTGCCATACATGTGGAATCGATTCAGTCATCGTGCAATACCATAACTTACGTTCGAGAGATGCCAATATTTGCTCCAACTGTTACGAAAAAGGTCATTTTGGTTCCAAATTCGTAGACTCGGATTTTATGAAAGTTGAAACAAACAAAAGATTCCTCTCAGCAAATGAATGGTCAGATCAAGAAATCGTATTGCTCTTAGAAGGATTGGAAATGTATGCCGACGATTGGTCCAAAATTTCAGAACATGTAGGAACTAAAGCTGTTGAACAATGTATTGAAAAATATATAACTTTACCTATGGACGAGGCCAAGATCAATGAAATAATATCTACAAAGAAGAATAATAGAAAAACAGATATAAATTCATCTGAAGAAGAAGTGGCTAAAATCGTAAGTGCAACGATTAACTCTCTTCTGAATCAAATGGATATGATTAGATCTAAAGAGGAAAACTCTTCTTCGGATAAGTATATTGAAGAAACTAAAATTGTAGTTGACGAATTGACAAAATTGGCAATTGCTAAACTGGATTCCAAATTTACTAAACTACGTGAACTAGAGAAAAAACTTCAAAGAAGTCAAGAAAAATATTATAAAGAATCAGAGGATTTATCAAATGACAGAATAATGTTGTCAAAACAAATTTCCCACATTAACGACGATTTATCAAAATTAGCCCACAATAAAAAAGTTGTGTTAGTATCAGATCCAAATACACAAGTTAAACTAATCGATACCGATGAAATAATAGAATCTAATAAATTAGAACAAAAAATAAAAGAAACAACCGTCGAACCACTATCGAAGTCAGACGCTTATAAGTCGCTAATTTTATAGCATCCCAACTAAATCAAGGTCAAAAATAAAAACTGTTTTAAATTTAAACTAAACTTAAATAAAATGCGATTATAAATACCTTTGTATAAAGTTATAAACTATCCATAGTTCTGTAAAACTAATCAAAAATCATATACCATCTCATTACTAAGAAGTATAACCTTTCCAACTATCTGTCTATCTGTCTATCTGTCTATCTGTCTATCTGTCCGTCTGTCTTAATTCATTTTATCTCGTTCCTTTAAATTCTTAATTAGGCCACATCAGCCCTTAGCACAATATACATATTCTATGAAAAATTAGTTAACTCATCGAATATGTATATTATAATAATAGATCGTTGTTGGTTAATGGGGAGTTGTTAAGTTAATTGTTTCATTGGTTAACCAATGGTTATGAATACGAATAAGTTGATTAACATCTAATATGATTAGTACCTTTTTAAGTTTGGTGTTATGCTTTGGCTTAACCAAGGGACACGGTGTAGGTAAGCATCATCATCAACATGACAATAATGAAAGGGGTGAGTTGTCTGCCGTTATAACTCTATTGGAAAAGAATTTGTTTGCTTATGGACCAAGGTATAATGCATTGATAGCTACTACAATCATTCAAATTATGCCTTGTGTTATAGTTTATTTGATTCCATCTTTACAAAAAGGTGTAGGGGAAAGCTCATTTCTAACAGCACTGGTAGCATTTGCATTAGGTACATTGCTAGGTGATATATTTCTTCATTTATTACCAGAAACTTTGAGTGTATCAGATGGAGATTCAGAAATGAAGGTTCCGATAATGGCATCTGGTTTGTTTGTTGGGTTTATGATGTTTTTAATAATTGAAAAATTATTGAGAATTATTTCTGAACCAGATGGAGCCCCTGGAGAACATATTCATTCTCATGGACATTCTCATTCCCATGGTGGAACACCAGAGCCAATACTTATTTCAGCATCAGGGTATATGCAAGAGAAAGATGATTCTAATATGAAGAAGAGATCGAAGAAGGATAAAAAATCTAAGAATAAGGACAAGAACCTGCTCACTGAAGAAGCTTCAAACGATGAGAAAAAGGTTAATGGTTCATCGGAGAACAAGATTACAGCATATCTGAACGTTTTATCCGGATTTGCGCATAATGTCACTGATGGTATGGCTTTAGCTTCTTCATTTTATAGTTCTGGTCAAATCGGTGTCATCACTACTGTTGCTGTGATGTTCCATGAAGTGCCTCATGAGCTTGGTGACTTTGCATTATTATTGTCAAGTGGGTTTTCGTTTTCTCAAGCTGTCAAGTCTCAATTAATCACATCTATCGGAGCAATTCTAGGAACAGCAATTGGGTGCGCTATCAATGAGCTTCCAAGTTCGGTTAATCTTGATAACAACAATGGTATTCAAATTCAAGGTATCCAATTAACAGATTTAATGCTTCCAATATCGACTGGTGGATTCATATACATAGCAGCAGTCGGCGCGGTTCCAGGAATTCTACAAAATGTAGGAACTACAAAGTGTGCTAAACTAAAGACAATGGCACTACAATTGATATCAATCTGCATTGGATTTGTAATGATGGCAGTCATTGCGGACTGATACGCCTCACAATGGTCACTACCATTTTTTCCCCCAAATATTTACTCTCTCATCGATAAATAATTGTATAATTAACTGTTTTCAAAGAATGGACTCTTAATGGTAACATGTGAAACTCCTTCAAATTCCTAGAACGATATTCAAATACACTTAGACCCTACCTATAGGCTAGCATGATAGTAGGCCATAGTGCCTATCGTGTATTATAATGGCATTTATAGTAGTGTGTCGTATGTATCAAGTTCTATCATTTAATACGTTGTGTATTTTGTCTCGATATCTAACGTAATTAAGGGTAAAAAACAATAAAGATGATCAACTTAAGATCAGAATTGAAAACTAATAAAGATGACGATGAGATTAATTTAAAAATATTGATGTTTCTGTTGGAAGAAAGTATCTATAGGAGTACCTCAGGTAATATTTATTATCTGTAAGTGGGCAGGGGCTAATTTGAGATATATCTGTGGAATTTTGGGGGTATGGAAGAGGTGAAATTGACATTTATTTTATTAGAGGTGCCTTGGAAGGTTATCAACTGTGACGTTGGTCCTATTGATGATATTTTAGTTACTGGAGAGTTTGATGGTTGGCGTGCGGTCCAGTATCATCTGGAGCTTGGTATGGATGGTGTTTACAGAAGCAAAATTCCAGTTTTAGAGGATCACAAGGATGTTATTTTTAAGTTTCAAATTAATGGTAATTTTTGGACAACTTTGTCTTCTTTTGAAACTATTTGGGATAACGAAGGCCATTTGAATAATATTCTATCCTATAAGGATTGTAAATTTATTTCTGAGAATGACATCGATGAGAATGTTACTATAAATGAAATGGGATCCACTTTGGATTGTAGGGAAATGTCCGAAAGTACAGTAAGCCATGCTCCACATTCTACGGCAGTAGAAGAGAATACCCTTCACAAGGTAATATTTAGTCCTCGGATTACAACAGTGGATCTGGATGAGTCGAAAGATGATTATATTAACGTATCATCCAATGGAGAATTGAGCAGCATTGAAAATTTAGAATTGGATATGAATGAAATGGAGGAAAACGTTGAAAGTACGTTGCAATTTACAAATAGAAATGAATTTTCCACGGATTATAAACCGTTATTCAATCTAGTGACTGTCACCAAGAAGATGAGAACATTTTTGAATAAATGATAAGAATTGAATATTTACTTCTCTATTTGTTTGTGTGTGTGCTCTTGTCTTGTTTGTGTTTTTTCTCCCTTTCTTCATATATGCTGACAAGAAAAATCAAGGTGTCTGCTAAACGTTGCTAATTCGAAATTCAAAAGGTATGTATCCTTATTGAACCACTACTGTTTCACATTCACCACACATCACAAGGATACCCATTGCATATGTCCACCATTTAAATCTGTGTTTGTTTCTTCGTTTGTTTGGGTATTTTTTTTTATCTTTAACTGGTCTGGCTATGTTTAAGTTTTTACGTTTACATTTTTTTTTTACTTTACTTTCACCATTAATACCTGTCACTCTAAAATGCTGGTCATTTGCAGGATAGTGAACCCTTTACATTGATAGAATTACAAATACCTCTTTTAAATAACTTAGATACTCATATTTTATGGTTACTGTATAACTAATTTGTTTCCCAATATATTTTTAACTATAATAGCAAAAAAGATACAACAAAAATTCAGAAGAATCAAAACAATTGCAACAACAGAAACAATTGTTACCGTCATTGTAATCAGATATACGTCTTTAGAATGGCATTAGTCCTTTAAATTGACAGTGCATTATTCAACTTTCTTCAGGTCTTATTTGTTATACAAGTCGCGAAAACTGTGATATAATTAAAATTTAAAGATGAGACGCGTAAATAAAATAAGCCTAACTTATATAAAAACAAGACTACTTTAAACAAAGTACTGACAAGTGTATCATTTGGTATAAGAGGTTGTGGTTAGAAGTGAGACTATTGTCGGTTTAGTTTGTTATGTCTGAGGTACGTAGGTCTTCCAGGTTGAGATCGAGGTCATCCAATGTTACAAGTCGTAATTCCTCACCAAGTTCAGATGAACGTGGTCGTAGTGTTAGTGTGATCCAGACAGATGATAATACAGCTATGACAGATATATCTGATGAAGAGTCTAGTTCTGATGAAGAGAACAATGAGGTAGATGAGGATTATGAAGAGCCTTCCAGAGCTAGGAGGTCCAAGAAGAGAAAGCCAAAGGCGAAGAAAGCAGTAGGTACTAAAAGGTCCAAATCTGGGAGAAGTTTAAAGGCAACTTCAAATGATATTGAGAGGCCTAAACCAGTCAATCTTGGTGGTTCTAAGAAGGAGCAAGAACATTATTTAGAAGTTGTTAAAGATTTCGAGGCAACTGAATTATTTTCAATTTTAGCTACTGCAGAGGATATTTCTGTAGATGAATTGATAAGAGAATGGTTAGAAACTTATAAAGAGAATAGAGATCATTTTTTGCAGGAATTTATCAATCTATTGTTATGTTGCTGTGGTGCAGTCGCTCGTGTTGAAGAGCATGATGTTCATAGCAATGAATCATCCAATGAAACAATTACAGAAGTACAAATCTTATTCCAAAAACAAAAAATGCATGAATTTCATTTATTGATTAGCAAAAATAATAAAAGAAAGGCCAAATATAAGAATCTTTATGATAATTTCATTGAGTTCATGTCAAAGATTATGGAAATAGCAAATGACATGCAATTATTGTACTCTGAGTCAGAAGATGACAATGAAATAACTTCAAATCCATTTGTGATTGATCTGCTAACATGGCTTTCCTCTCTCTCTGTTTGTAAGATCAGATGTCTAAGATATGTGTCTACTTTGAGTTTATATTTATTCCAAGATTCTTTGACAGAATATGTGGTGGAGATCGAAAGTAAATATCTGTCGAAGCTGACAAAACAATTGACTCAAGAACAAAAGAAAAAAAGACCAAGTACTAAGACTATGGAAAAATTAGAGGCTAGTATTGAGGAACTTCAAAGTAACAAAGCTGTCACTGAAGGCATTATTGACAACATCGTAAAATTATCATTTGTTCATAGATTCAAGGATATTGATGAATCTATTAGATCAGAATCTATTTTGCATTTATCTACTTGGATTAAACATTATCCTGAATATTTCTTAAAAGTTACTTTTTTAAAGTATTTTGGTTGGCTACTAAGTGACAGTTCTGTTGATGTCAGACTGCAGGTATTGAAAACTTTGCCTCAACTGATATCTAAACATAATAAAAAATCAGTAGATAATTCGGCAGTGAGACAGTTTTTTGAAAGATTCAAAGAAAGAATATTTGATATGGCCTTAAAGGATATTGATTTAGAAGTCAGATTAAACGCTGTTAACGTTTTAATAGAAGTAGCACCTCTGGGTTATTTGGAAGACGCCGAAATATTAGCACTTTCAAGTCTTATTTTTGTCAATAGAAAAGTTAAAGTATCATCTCACAGTAAAAACTCGAGATTTTTGGCAACTGTAGCAAAGTTCTTTGCAAGAGTGACGATTGAAAAATGTGAAGAATTTAGTTCAAGTTATGATGTACCCGAATCTATATTTGGTCTTGATTCTAACTCACTTATTAAGATTGCCATTCTGGTTGGTCTATTAAGTAAATCTTTAATCTATCACCTACAAAATTCTGAAGCTTTAGACTCCACTGAGAAGCTAGAAATATTATTCCAAGCTGCTGAATTTTTACATCCGTATTATGGTTCATTAATAGAGGATATCTGTAAATTGCTGACATACGATAGTGAATTATCATATTCTTTTTTACAATTGGAAAATTCAGATGAAGAGAATTCAGTCAGGGAAACATTACTGTTGCCAGATAAATCAGAAAATATTACTATATATACTGCTATCCTAAGTGGTCTTTGTCATGGTGGATCAATTCAAGGAACCCAACAAAAATTTAGAATTGCAGAATCGGTATTACCTTACATTGAAAATCTCTTAACATATTTGCCAGTGCACCAAATTAATATTCTAGAGCCAATATTATCGATTTTCAACATTTTTACTTTTGAAGATTGGATTCATGCAGGATATGAAAAGAAATTATCCACCATTGTGGATAAGATTCTAAGGATATTTTCAGAATGCATGTTAGATGGTGATTCAAGAGACTTAAGATATAAGTCATTTTCTGCAACGTTAGAAACTATTAAAAAAATGAATCTAAATGAGCTAAATGAAATTTGTATAAACCAGATATCATACTTGAAACTACAGTTTCAAAAGTTCTTAATCGAAAGAATGGATCCAAATGAATATGAAATAGATTTTAATGAGACCATTGCGACGTTGTACGGTAGGTATTTGAACAAAATGGTTCTTCTTGGGAAGGATTATGAATTGGAAGTTGATAAGCAACTTTTACAGTCATTCATGGAAAATTTTCTATCGAGGGTTCCAAAATTTTTTGAATCGTGTTCTTTTGATACGATAAAATTGATGAATTTTAGATTTTTAACCTTAATTGTTACATGGCAACTTCATAAATGGACAGAAATTATTCAAAATTCCATTGATACTGACGCGACTGTCGAAGTTTCAGTTGATGTCATTCAAATGATAGCGTCAATAGTTGAGCGTTTGAATACAACTCTAATTACAACTGATAATGATGAATATATAAATTCAGAAAAATTGGCAGAGTGTATGCTGTTGAAATTAAACATAAGCACTTCATTAATGGATATAGTTTCAGCTTTAAAAATATTTGACATAAGTTTACCTGAAAATGAAAGCTCATGGAAGGAAAGTATTAAGGAAAATTTCCCATATTATTTACATGATAAAGTGTCAGACATTCTATATCAAATTTTCCTATATTTAGAGGCCATTTTCTCTAAAGAGATTGGCGAGAATATAGAGAGACTAGCTGGTGAAAATGTTAACTTTAATGACATTGAAAATAACGGCGTATTTAACAATGTAGAGGCCGAATTACTGTTATTTACTATCAAATTAAAAGGGCTAATAAAACTAAAGATACTTAAAGGGGATATCAATGAAAGAGTTAAACTGAATAAAGATATTTTTGGACCATTATTTATAAGTATTGTTGATGAAACAATTTTTGAAAATAATTCCAAAAAACAACCACATAAGCTACAAAAAAATATTCATCAACCGGAACATAGAGCTGTTTTATTATCATCTGCTGGAGATATCGAATCGGACCCAATCGAAGGTTCTCCAGAAAGAACAAGTCATCATGTAGAGGATATTGAAATGATAGATAATGATCCAATCGAGGATTCAGATTCTTAATAACTATTATTTTATAGAGAATAAGAAAAATAATTATATACTAGCTAGTATGAATATCAATACGTTATAAAAAAAATTAGTTATAACTAATAATAATAATCATAATACTTATAATTATAATAACAACCAATTCTGAACATTTCCATTTTCCATATCAAGAATCATCCTTAGTCAGTACATATTTTATTAAATCATGAACTGTTAATTTTAGTATGGGAAACTTAAATGCGTATAAAAAATTGAAATCTTAGAAACTTAATCATACTAAGTGAATAAACTACTGGAATAAAAGACAAGTGTAAGAAGTTATAGGGATAGACATGAGTGTATTAAGTAAGGTATTTGTTGTAGTTGCTATAATTCAATTGATGCATTCTGGATTTTCCAGTTCTGAATTCCATAGATTAGTTAGATCACAAAGTATAAATAGTTCCAGGTATGTTGGTGTTACATTACCATTAGATATTAAATTAGAGGCATATATTGGAATGATACTGTTCACAATTGGTATTTTCATGTCATTTGAAAAG